GATTTTAATTACATTTATTTATACATTGTATTTATTCTATTTAGATTTTTTAAGTCAAACATTATTATAGCATTTTACAGAATTATATTAAAATATGTAAATTATATTAATTACTGTTAAAAAAAAATAATAAAAATTAATAGTTATATTAATATTTCTTTACAATACTTTTCTCTACTCTTTTAAAATCAATTACAAACTTTGTCAAATCGTAATATTAGCTTCGGATTTGAAGTGAACAGTTAAATAATTTTAATATATTATAATAAATAGTAGATAATAAATAACAAAAGATTTAAATCATTGTGGCACATTTGTGCAATATATCTACTTATATATATATATATATATATATATATATATATATATAGATACTTTTAATTATTTATCATAAAATATTATATATTACAAATTATAAAAAAAAATTACTAAAAATAAAACAGTTTCGAATCTATAATCAGTATTATACTAAGTAAAGAATTAAAAATGTAATATTATCTTCATTCAAGCTAGAATTAAATAATACATTAGTATTTAATTACAATATGATAACGTATTATAAAGAAGAACATCGGTAAAAGAAGTGTTGGTTCAGAAATATCTATATAACTAATATGGAAATGTCTAACTAAGCATGAAAGGATTTTTCTTATCTTATTTTACATATTTTCCGGTACAAATCCGGTTCATTGTAATCTTATATTTTATATTTTAATTAAATATATTCAACGTTTTGTAAGAATCTATTTAATTTTTGTTTCATTCAAAACTAAAATTAAATTTTGTAATTTATAAATAATCTAAAATCTTGGCATATAATTAATATTTTGATATCTTATCTGCTTTGTTTCTATTTTAACCCGTTTTCTTTATTTATATAATTCTATTTATTTAGTCTCTTATCTTGTATATTTCTTTTCATTGAATCTATATTTTACAGTGGAATTCAACTGCTAGATATTAAAAAACAATTATTATTCACCTAAAGTTTATAATAAATCAAAACTTTATTTAATAAAAATCTTAATTATTTAAATAATAGAAAATTATATTTAACATAGTAATTTTACATAATAATTCGCAATTCACAATCCTTTTTTTTAAACTAAAATTAATAAATTAATAGATATTAAGTAGGCAATGAATTAATTATATTCTTATGTATAATAATTATATAATAAGGTTCGTTAAATATTTCTTTTACTAACTATTTTTTCGAAATTTGAACACAAAACTAAATTCTTTTCTTAGTTTTACACCAACTTACATCAAATTTGAAACACTTAAATAATTTGATCCATGCACAATATTGTATATATACAAATAATCACAAAAACTTTATATTTTTTTTATCAATTATAATGATAAAATGCTTTATTTGATTATTAAGGATAAAATTTAAAAAATTTATTACTAATCAATTGAAAATGTGATTCAATTTTCTGTGAACAATACTACTCTTATAAAAATATAGCATTTAATTCTATACTATTGGCAAAAATCTGAATTTCATTTAGCTTGAGTAAAAATTAAACATTTTTATATGTAATTATTATATAATTCTTTCTATTTATTGATATTTTACAAACACTATTACACATAATAAATAGATATACATAACCACAAAAATTAAAATGATTACAATGAAAATGATTTTCTACCAAACTCTTTTATCAATCCTAAGACAGCATAATTTTTGTTCATATTCGTGCTAAATAAAAGCGTATATTTACCATAATTATTGAAATTGAGACAATCGTTTTTTGAAGGGAAATAATAAAATTATATTATTAACTTATTAAATATTAAAATATTTTTTAAAGTACACATTACATAACTGAATAAATTTAACCAATAATATTAATTAAAATTATGAATTTCTTATGTTTCCACTGTCTAATCATTATTCAATACATTTCTTTACTTGGTGATTTTTTATTTGATAAGTAATCAAATTTTAAAGTTCATTTTGCTTATTAACATTTATAGAACACACCTGCTAATACATTTATCAGTCATAACATTCAAATTATCCGTTATTATGTAGTTTAATGATATAATAATGTTAAAATACGTAATATGTGTATACACGTAGAATTACTTATTACATATATATGTGTACTTTTATTGAGTAGAATTTAATTTTAGCTCAATTAAAATTGAGCTTCAACAAGAAATATAAATAATTAAAATTATGCTGTATTCGAACTAAAGATAGCAAATGTAAAAATCTACGAAATTTAATTTAAATAATTATTGAATACATACTAACTTATTATATTTAAGTGAGTTTAATTACATATGTGCATGTAACTAAAATTAAAATAAAGAAAAAATAATAATTGTAAATATTTGAGGATATTCTATTTTTATATACTATTGATTTTTAATTTTTTTTATAATCAACAAATAGTATACAAATTTTCGGCATCTAATAAATTTTTAATATAAGCAACATATCTTTTTCATATTGCATTTTCCTGTATGGATAATGAAGTAATACTAATATTCAACTATTATCATAAAGATTATTATTATTACAGTTTAATAGTTCAAATTTACACAGATACACGTTTATTACGAAATTTACGATACACACATACACACACATTATTATTCACACAGACACAGACGCGCGCGCGCTCACACACACACACACACACACACACACACACACATATATATATATATGAATATATAATGTAATTTTAATTTTCGTTTCAATAAAACAAGGAGAAAATGAACTTAGGAATTATTTTATATTTATACCTTATTTTTAATACTGGTAATTTAATTTTCTATTTTCAAATATTAAATTGATAATATTTTTATAAAACTGTATTATATCATTTAAAATTACTTTAAAATAAAAGTTGTAAATTCGTTTTAATAGAATGTATATCGTAAATTCGATAATGGCATAAAATTCATTTAGAAATATAAAAATTGTATACAATTTTGTTTAATTATTTTCTTCAATAATAGGTACATCCATTTTGTTGTTATAAAATTTATAATACTGCAAATTTTTAAACAAATAATCGTTATTACATCATTCAAAAATAATCTAAAAAATTTGTTCCTTACAATTTTTTATGCAAAGCTTTTATCTAAATTCATAGAAAATGTACCGTTTTCTGTATTGATAAATTTTCTAGTATCACAATAAATTTATAATCCTCAGTATTTGAAATCATAAGTAATCATACTCATTGATTGTATCAGTTGTACTATGGCAAATAAATATGAAACCATCAATTCTCAGGATGTTTTAGTAAGGTAGAGAAGATTATTGGTGGTGAAAATGGAGATATTAAAGAATTATCATATATGGTATCCCTGAGATATGCCATAATAAATCAGCATTTTTGCGGTGGTGTTATCATTAGTAAATCGTACATACTTACAGCAGCACATTGTCTAATCGATGAAATTTATAGTAATGTACTTGTCATTGCGGGAAGTAACAGTTCAACAAATATATTAGGATCGGTCTTTAAAATTCAAGAAGTATTTTTTCACCCACAATATCAAGGTGAAATTATTAATCAACCATTTCATAAACATGATATAGCTGTAGTGAAGGTATGTTAATAAAAATTTTCATTAATGGATTTGATCCGAAGAAATTAATTAGTCGTAGAATTATTGTTGAAGCATACATATAAAAATGTAAAGAACATAAAATAAATTTGATAAAATAAACAGTTTGTCTCTTTCTGGTTACCGTTGATGAAGTAAATAGTCCATTTTCTTCACATGATAATAATGTATTTTTTATAGCATTTCCGTAATGTATTTGTTAAAGTAATTTTATAATTTTAAACTTAAACCCACAAAAGTATGTTTGAATGTGAATTCATCCTATTTATCAGAGTTAATTGTATAATACGTATATTGTTTATTAAGAATATATATTATCTTTTTATTAAATGATATATCTTTATGTTAAATATGATTATGATATTTATAGGATTAAAATTTTCGAATAAACGAGAATATTTACTGATTTAGACATATTTTTAATATTTATCGAGTAAAGAATCTTTTGAAAATAAATAATAATTAGTTGCAGTTAAATATGCATTAGTCATAGAATTTCATATTCTATTAAGTAATAGATAGGTAAATTTAAATATTCGTAAATTATCACCTCTTTTTTGTTTTAATTATTTATTTATTAAGTAGCCTTTCTATTGTTATAAAGACATTAGTATAATATTATCGAGATACTTTTATATTATTAATCTGTAACTTTACCATTGTGCAAGCCCGGATTATTTCAATGATTATAATTTTTTCTCACTTAAAAATTCAAATACACTTAATACAAAATATATTATTTCTAGTTTGGGTAAATAACAAAGACAATCTATAAATTTTTACAAAGTTTATAAATGTTTAAAATTCTCTTGATAAGTCAATACCAAATTTTTATCGCAAACTATATTAATTTATTTCAATTTAATATAGTAAAAATTTGTGAATACAATAGTATAATAATTTATATATAATTAATAGTTCATATATTAATATCTATAATTCTTAATAAATAATATTCAATTATATTACTAAATATATGATATTACATTATATTAATGAGCAAATAATATTCATAGCAATTTTCATTGAAATTTTTAATAGAAAATAAGCATTTAAAATATTTTGAGAAAAATTCCTAATAAGAATTAATAGGAATATTCGTTTGTAAATGAAGTTATTTAAGAATTCTATATTACACTCTTTTATATCAAACGAATATAGAATATATTAAATATAACTAGAATGATTGATTTAACGAAATTGAATTGATTCAAATATATATTATGAAGGAAATGATTTAGTAATTCAATAGAATTCAAATATATTATTGGAAAAGTTTCACATACTCGACTAGGCACTTCTAAATAAATATGAAATTTCTTTATAAATATGTTAAAATATGAAAAACAAGTATTTTTCTTATGTTACACTTATTTAACACTATTCTTTGACAGTTACGAACCTTCATTTGTTTCACTGAATCACAGAAGATGATAGGTCTTCCAACTAAAGATATCAATAATGGTGATATTGCTATTTTAAGCGGTTGGGGTCTAACAACATATCCATATTCCGGCAGTTCTGATCATCTGCAAAAAATTTCAATTCCCATTTTAAAACATTATGAATGTTCAAGATATTATCCATTTTCGATTGAGAAAGAGCAATTTTGTACATATAATGAAAGAGGAATTGGTGCATGCCATGTAAGATTTTTTATAAATTATTAAATGAAAATTTTAATCTAAAAAATTTAAATATTACAGTTAAATTATTATATAATCAACATTATTAGCTATTATTATACTATTTATGTTACTATAAACACATAATTTATCATTGCTTATATTATATTATAAAAGAATTGTATTATGATTAGCAAATAATGATACTAAGATAATTTATTTGTAAGCTTTTTGTGCAATTTTTTAATTTGCAAATATAAATTTCAATCTTTATTTTAATTCTCAAAACTACTATTTATCAATACTTTTTATCATTTTTTTTCATTAATATCTTCTAATGAAAAACTACAGCATAAAAAGTTTAGTTTACTTATTCTACATGTTTTTGTATCACAAAAACTTTTATAGAATCTAAGTTATCGAAAATTATTTCACAAATATTGCTAGTTTAAATAATACATACATAGTTTGTTATACATATTGCAATGCTTTCATCTATGTAAACAACTAATCGAAATATATAAATAACTCATTATTTCCTTAATTAAATTAGAGAATTAAAATGAATAATATAAATAATTTACAATTTTATTTTTTGTCTTAATAATTTAATCTATTTAATACTCAATTAGTTGATATTTTATAAGTTATTATATATACCAATTCTACTAATCATTAATATTAATCATTAAAAAAGAAAAATATTCATAAACATAAGAATCCTTTTCTATTAGATATGAGTAATAGAAATGGTGTATTACTAATCATTAATATTTATATAAATTATTATTTTATAAAAAAATATTTAATTATTTATCGAAATTTTATTAATAAATTCTGCTTTAGTACAAATTTTATTGGAAAAAATAAAACATTTATTCAATGATAATTTCAAAATCGCTTTAATTAATATTCAGTTTAGATTCTGTAATTCTATTGTTAGTAATTTTTAAGGATTACATTAAGATATGAATTAAATAGAAATTTATTCAATAAGCCATTATTGTAACAGTTTGAGATAAACTAATTTTTATATATATTATAAAATTATTCCACTTGAACAAATACAAATTTAATTGACCTTAGATTTAATTTATTCTTCCACAATTTACTTACCAATACGTGCACTTATTATTCAATACGTTTTCTCATATTTAATTCCATTTAATTGAATTTTTTCAATATTTCATCGGATTACAAAATTTATTTATATAGTTCGAAAAATATTATGCCCAATTATCACAAATTATGTATATATACCAACTTTTAGTATCTTTGTTCAATATATGTTTAATGTAAAATAGATAAAGTTATTGCCTCATTAAACTGATTATAATAAGTTTTTAATTAATATTTTAGATATGTAAATTTTCCTCTTTAAACAAAAAATAAAAATAAAAATTCCATTTTTAGGTGAAACATTATTCAAGTGGACTATAATATATTTATCAAAATAATTATCTGATCTGTATTATTAGGATTCAGAAATTTGAAACAAATGATATAGTTTGAAAATATAACATTTTATTATGATATTAAAGAAATTTCAAATGAATTAAAATCAAAATTATCAATTATATTTCTCATTCAAATTTTCTTTCTTGTAAATACAATGATAAAAAATTTTTTGATAAAAACAAATTTTTAAATTTATTTAGTACTTCTTTTAACTTAATATTAAATAATACATTTAATTAATAGCATTTTATATATTTATTTATATATTTATATCACTAATAATTTAATATATATTACAGGCATTGTCCGCTTTGGCATAATTTATTGGTTATATTCTATTATTATTTGATTTAATAACATCTCTATAAATAATAAAAATTACTTCACGGCTTTGTAATTATGTTTCAAAATTTCAGTAATGTAAAATATCATCCTATATTTTTCTATATGTGTAGGGATATTTATATATATATATATATAGGGAGAGAGAGAGAGAGAGAGAGAGAGAGAGAGGGCGGGAGAGGAGTGTAGATAATATTTGATTAATATCTTAAAAAAAACATAGTACCAAATTACTAATACATATTTATAATAATAAATAATTTAAAACCATTAAGCATTGTGAAAAAAAAATAATTTTTTTAAGTAAAAAAGCATGCGTGTATACTATAAATATCTTATCAAAATTGAGGCGTACAATACCGATAATAATCTTTTATGCATTTTATTTATTTGATTGCGCAACAATTCTAATTACATACTAAAATATTGATATTTTTATATGAAGAAGCTTAAGTCTATTCTAAAGTATAATTGAAAATATAAACTAAATAAAGATTCTAAAAAAAACTGTATATTAATTTTATACAAATATTAAATAAGTAAATAAATGTTTACATTTTTGTATTTTTACTTTATTATTTTTACAGGGTGATAGTGGAAGCCCATTGGTCCATAATGAAGTGCTTGTGGGTATTTCTTCGTTTATTATTCCATGCGCTCAAGGTTTACCTGATATTTATACTAATATTTATATGTACCTAAATTTTATTAGGAATTTTGTTACTAATTGATTACATATTTATGTTTTTTCGATTATATTATAATAAATGTTAAAAATAATTTTTCTTCTTAAAATATTATTTTATAATTTATTTGAATCATATGATATAAAAATAATAAAACAGATAAATAAATAACGCAATTGTTTGGATATTAAAATTTATACTCAACAATTATCTAAAAATAAGTGATAATATCAAACAGAAAAATATATGTATATATATATATATATGCTTGCAATTAAGGATTATGTTAAATATCCAAAAAGTCTGATATCGGATAAAGAGAATTTAATAAAATCATTATTATTTCTGTAGAAATTTATATCTTTAATTATTGTTATTAAAAGCTATTTTTTAAAACTTTTAGATAATAATATTAGTGCAACAATTTTATTGATAATTAAATGCTAATTCGTGTATATATACTTTATATTTCATATATATATATATATTTATATATATTTAAATACAATAAAATTATTTAAAACTAGAAGAATAAAATATTACACAAGTTACCTTTTAATTGGAAGTTAAATATGAAATTCAACGCATCAATTATATTAATATTAATCTTATATGTCTTGTTTGTTGAAGGTATGAAAAAATTAAAATATTGTCTACTTAAATTGAACTACTAATTTCATACTGCAAATATTATAGGAACAAGAACTGCTGATGAACCTAATCGGATAAAGAGATGTTTAAAAAAAAGTTTGCCCAGATGCTTATTGTTTAAAATGATGAAAATCAAAACATAGACAATATATATTACAATGTAATACATGTAATATATATATTTTTAGTATATAATATTATATATAATTTAGTATTAGTAAATATTATATATAAGATAATATAAAAAAGATATCTATTTAAAAAGATCGGTGATCCGTATTATAAAAATTTTGTGATACGATAAATCTCTTCAACATGAGTGGTAATCTTTATCTTCTAAAGTTTTTAATTTTAATAAATTACACTAATATTATTTATTTACTTATAATATATACTAAGTAATATTATTATTTATACATTTTTACAGATCTTTATACTTACATTCCATAATATTAAACATTTTTTTCAGAATTAAATATAATAACGCAAATCATAGCACATAAAAAAAACATTATAATTGGTTGAATGTAATTGTTTTTAAATAAAAAATTAGAAATGTAAGGGCAAGGAATTGTCCTTTGGAATTGTACAATCTTTCATGTTGTCTTTTCCGGTTGGATGATAATCTTGGTGCTCGCGTTTATTGATAACCTTAGAAGTATAACGTATGATCTATTAATGATTTTGAGCTCCTATTGCATACAATAAAATTATTGAAAAATACAATATTAAACAACAATGTTAATTTTTTTTTCTTCAATATTCGTTTTCCATAAGTGTATTTATTATATCTAATATATAAAAATTGTTTCTATATAACAATTCTCTGAAATTACCGATGTAATGATTTTGAAATAGTCTTTAATAAAAATTTCTTCGTTATATGGATCCTCGATAATAAAATTGATTTGTTTCTATAAATTGAAAAAAAAATTCAATAAATAATTTCGAATAATAAAAAGTGTATTTATTTTTATTTAAATTTCCAATCTAAAATAAATTACACATTATTGTTTACGAGCCTATAAAATTCTAATGCCAAAATATGGTTAAACCTGAAAAAAAAATGTGTTATTCCTCAAAAATACATTATATTTAAAGAAATCAGAATACTTTCTTTCATTGAATTATAATACTTTATTGTAATTATTTTCTTTTATAAGCAATAACTTAGTAATAAAAGTAATATTATAGAATTATAGCTTGTTTGTTGATTTTATATATATTTTTTTTAGATATTTTTCGGAACAACTATGCGTTTTCTACGAATACTTTTGACGAAAACGTTTATCAAATTTTTCATAAACACTAACAATCAAGACTCATAAATAGTATTATTATTTTTGTTATTTCATTTTATATACTATGTATATTTAATATTCATTTTTGTGATAAAAATAATTTGATTTGTAAATTAGTAAAAAATATAACAATTTCCAAATGCAATTTATGAACATTAAAATCAAAACAAATTAGTATAATAAAATATTATACGTCATTCAAAAAAGTTATATATTACTCATGAATATAAATTATTATACTATTCATTTATATAGTATCAATTAAAAAATTATAATTATCAATTAAATTAAATCAAATAATTTTAGTATAATACTATAATATATATTTTATTAAAAAATGAAGTATTTTCTATTTATTTTATTTTTTAGTATCATCTGTCTATTACTAATTGATGGTATGCATGAAAATCTTATTGATATAACATAAATTGCTTATTCATCTGTTTTGTTTTTTTTAGAAAAAGTCATGTGTAAAAAATCAATGAAAACAATTAAATGCATAATAAAGGGCTCACGTGCGTGCATTGCTTCAAAAATAGCAGCTAAAACAATAAAAAAAGCATTTCATAAATTAAGACGATTATAAGTACATAAGCTACCTTATATATTTTGTAAGTAAAAGTAAGTCTTCCAAAATGTTTACATGTATTCCAAAGTTTATACCTTAAAACAGTACAATAAATCCTGTAATATTTCTTTGTATTAATAAAATATTTAAAAGCAGCAACAAATTTATTTGCTAATAATTTAACATTTTCTGTAATTAATATATCATTAAGACATTTTCTTAATTTATGTAAGCAAAATAATGTACTATTGATGAAACAAAAAATTAATACAAATGATCTAGTAAGTTGTATTCTTTGGTATTATCTTCTACTAAATAGATTAAATTTACATTGATTGTACTATTATGAATCTTCAACCTTAATATATCCTAATTCAGTCATTTAAAATCAACAGAAGCAAGCGAACGTATTTTCAAAAATAATTTAAGAATATAGAAAAAATTATATGAAATTCATAATTCATAGAATATATAATTAAGATTATAATATAATAATATTACTTGCAGTCATGAATCATGAAATATAAATAACCAAAATTAAGGTTTTTGGAGTGAAGTGTTGATATTCGAAACCAAACCGTCTAAGTAAATTTAAAAAGACAGAGAGAATTATCTAAAATCTGTGTTCAATATAATATTTTAATAGCAATCAAATTATATAGATTGAATGATGTTCACCATGCAGATAATAGACGAAAAGAGTGAATATTATTAATATTTATTGTTTTTATTATTATTCAATAGATAATTTTCAATTTTGATTTATTTTTTTTAAGAATAATGGAAAGCGAGAGATAGTAAGTATATATGTATGTATTTGCCAAAGAGTAAGAACAATGGAAATTAATAAACTTACGATCACAACTAAAAGAAAAAAACATCTAAATAGAATTATTAAACAAATTTATTTATTATAAAAAAATGTAAATATTAAAAGAACATTATATGAATGAAAGTAATTATTAACAATTTACAATTACAATAATATAGTTGATGTTTAGAAATAAACAATTGATATTGGTGATTATAATAATTTCAATAGTATGCAATAAAAGGATAAAATTACTTATTTCACTGATGATTTAAAGTTACTTAAAATCAATGCATGATTATTTATTCATTACATTAACTTATTAACTTAATAAGCCTTTGTTAAAGCTCTTATAGACTTACGTAAATAATATTAAAAAAATATATATTATACTTTATTTAAATACAAACTATTTCAATATACATTATTTCAATAATAATAAATAATTATGTCAATAGTAATGATACATAAAACTGACGTAATTTATAGGATAAGGAAGGTAGTATAGTTCAAACATTTTATGTATCAGCTTGTAATATAAATTGATACAAATTTTTTTGTATAAAAATATAATAAAATAATACAGTAGAATTTTGAAAACGATGAAAATTTTTTAATTATTTTAAAAATATAATGACTAAATTTAATATAAAAATATAAAAAAAATTAAAATCTAAATCGTGAATATAAATTGCTATGCATATTATTGAATTTTTTCAGTGTATATGAAAATAGTTGAAAACAATCAAATATTTTCAACATATATTTTTTTATACAGTATGAGATTACATATAACTGGATTGTTAATATTGTTCATATTTATTGCCAATTTTCATTTAATAATGATGACGGGTATGTATTTAATTAAATGCTTATATAAGAAATGAGATTCATAAATTCTTTGTTTTTTTTTTAAGGTTTCAAAGAGCGTTTTAAAAAATCTGCTGTAGCAAGATGCATAAAAAGAGGATTACGCGTGTGTTTTGTAGTTAAATTTTTATTAAGACAACATCTTTAAAATAATACATTATGAACATTGTGAAAACTGTCAAATGTCTAATAATTTATTTCATTATATTATAATTATAAATTGCTCTAATCTATTGCATAATCAGTCGTGAATTTAATGCAAATATTTTGTTAAACTTTTTATAAAGTTTCCTAAATATTAAATAAGTAAAAATTCTATTCTAGACATTATAATAAGTAGTTTAGAATCTATACAGCTTCATTCAAGCCGAACTCTCAGAGAATTTAAAATTCATGTATTGACATGTAAAAAATATATATAAGCACATATTAACTTAAGCCAGCACGGAAAAGTTGATTAAAATATTGTGTAGTAGATCGATTTATTTATTACAACTTTACATGTAATAATACATAAATCTATTAGTAATAATGAAATAATAAAAAAAATTACAAATAATTAAAGAAAATTGTTAAAAATTCATATTCATCCTTAATATAATATTCTTTATTATACGCATTACTATATACTATTTTATGTGCTTCATGTTAATATAATAAAATGATAATAAATTTTTATACTTCTTGTAATATTCTTATTTAATAGTTGAATATACATATACAGACACACGTGTAAATTAATATTACAGAAAATATACAGATTAGAATGGTTATATACAATGATATGTAAAGAAAAAAAAAAAGCGTTAAAGAGGATAACTATGTGCATGTGTTTATAGAACACAGTATGAGTATTTCTGAGCTACAATTTTCGTTAATGGCAAGACTCTTATATTTATACATCACAATGCAACTCCTCAAAGCAAATACATATACGAGCAATTACATTTTATAACTCAGAAGATGGAAATTTTACAGTCCGATAATGGAAACTATTAATGTAATCCTACAGATTGCTTTGAAAGATCTTTTATGAATGATTGACTATTTCGGGATTCTCTACTTATTCACTAAATCCGTATAGTCATAACAGATAAAATATCCTGAAATCTTTCGATAGAACTTGTTATAATAAGAATATTCATATTTTTTCAAAATACAAAATCTGATCGTTCAATAAGTCTTGAAATACAGAATAAATGTAATCATAATTATGTACGGGACATTTCTAAATATTACCTTGTAAAAGTATGCTTTATAATTTGCGTAAGTTTATGTATATTAATTATGTATTTATAAAAATTTACTTACTATATTTTATCTCTCACCTCTATTCGTACGTAATAGCACAATCTCGCTCATTCTATGGTGAAATGTTCACTTTTTTCAAAAATCTGTCCTTTTCACGACTCTGAGCAAAGATAATACACCTTCACCCTTACTTTGTAAGAACAATCCTCTTTCAAGTATCTCTAAGAAGATAAAATTCGTTTCATCGTATCGATGTAGTACAAACTATTAATTCTGAGACTACAGCTCAAATAGATAAATGTTAAAAGGCTTGAATAACCCTTTAAGTATGTTATGTAATATACAATAATATAATATTGCCTAGAAAGGAATTAATCCAATGTCCACGAATAATTGCAATAATATTTGAAAAAAATCACATTAGTTTCATTTTTTATTTTATGATTCCAATTATGATATATAATATGCATTTATTAATTGAATTGAATTAAATTTTTAATCATTTTTCTTTATTTTTTAGAACTTCATTGTAAATTATAGAAAACTTTCTATATATATATATATATAATATAAATAATTTTCCACACTTAATGTGTTACTTAAACCGTTTCTTATAAGAAGTTCAATATTTATTTTTTGAAAACATATTCATCGTAACTTTTAATCAATATAATGAACTTTTATTATTATATCAGTTGTATAATAAATATTAATGTCTGTCAGAGTATTATGAACAAATACTAATTGAAAATTTTTACAGTATTTAAAAATATATATTATTTTAAATTAATATAAGATATTTACATTTATATGTAAGAAATTTAATTAGCATTGTACTACCCTTAATTAAAAAAAAAATTATAATATTATTAACGATTTTATATTTAAAAAATATATAGATATTATTTTTACATAAAAATTTTCGAAATTTAAAATTTATTTAACGTAGATTATTTTTCATATTTCAAAACAATGTTACAATGTATTAGTTTTGTAAATTAATTGTAAAGACCTTGTGTGTTTGTTGGGTAATTTCTTCAGTATAATTTCGAAAAAAAGCCGTTAGAAAATAATTTGAAAGTTTTTAATTCTTTTTTTCGCAATCGTTAATTAGATACACTGGTCCTTCAACTACGTATGTATATGCATATATATATATATATATATACATTTAATTATATGTCCAACTATGAAACTATAAAAAATAAATATTCATCATTGGATCTGATTATCCAGTGAAATACTTTATTTAAATTTTAATTTTATAAAAATAATCATCTGCTCTACAAAACCAAATTAACTACGGGCTATTTCATTTATATCATTAATAATGTAATTAATTTTATAATTACTAATTAATTATTAAGTTATAAAGAAATTTAATAAATAATAAACACTTCATTATATCAAAAATAATTAAACTCCCATCGATCTTCAAAATCAAAATTATATATTGTTTCTTTTTATTATTACATTTCAACAATCTTTAATAGTATATAATAAGTATTTATTAGATAATTATTTTAAAATTCAAATTTAAAGTTTTCTCCAAGTCCCATTCAATTTTTATTTAGTTTGTAATGAAATCTGTAAAGAATACATATAATAAAGCTGAAGATTTGAATGATTATTATTTATTTATACCTATAAATATATATATATATATATATATATATATATATATACTTGCAATATAAAACAAATTCTATTTTTTAAATAAGAGTTGATGCCCTTTTAATAATTCTATTCACGTGTATGAAAATATTTGTAGGACTATAAATATCTAAACTAAGATAGAAAATTATATATATATATATATATATATTGATTGTACTTTTAGTGATAATGAAAATTTTATTCTTTCTAAATTACAAAAATAATAAAATTATGAATTCTCTTTATGTAGTATTCAAATGCGAATTCAAATTCAAAAGTATTTTTATATGCTAAGAGATTTTTCCAATAACAATTTACTTCATGACATAGTAAAAATAAATTTTTTCATCTAAACAGATTCTTCAATAAGAATTATTTTATCTCAAGAAATTTTATCATCCTGGAAGGATATTTAAATAAAAAAATTTAATTAATATTTACATGAATATTATAAGTGCAGGATAAAAAAAATTAATCAAAATATTTGTAATTTAAGAATATTTTAAATTTATAATTTTATAAATTTATAAATAATGATATAAAATGAAGTTGATTTTCATTATATTTTTAGTATCATCTTACAAATTTGTCATATATAATATTTAATGTACATATGCATGTATATTTTTGGAATTGTACCTGTAAATATGCTAGCGTAGGGAGTTCATATGCATTATGTAATAGAAAATATGACATAAAATATCGTATAAAATAAATTATATATTTGAAAAAAATATCAGCCTCTCTGAGCATTATACAGAGATATAAAATTTCATAATAAATTTACGTTATATAAAAGATTTACATTGTAAAAATAGATAGGATTATATTTTCTCGGCAAAGACAGCCGCGCCTAACCGAAAACCTTATTAAATGTTTAAACAAATTTTTATTGCACGTAATGGAATTCTTTGTGCCCATGAAGTCGTTAGGTGGTGGGAGGGGGATGTTGCACCTTCGCGCCACATGGTAGCGCCGCAACGTAACTCAGAAAGGAGTGGGACCATCGTCGTCCCGGGTCCCCGAGGGCCCAAAGAGGTAGTGGTGGAAATATAAGTGCATGGTGCCTGGCCAACAACGACCAGTGTTTGCTAAGCGGTACCACGAACACGAAAGGTCCGCGACTGCGATTCCGTATACGCAACCGTAAATTTTGCTGCATGAAACTTTTACTCATTTAAAACGTCTATCGTCGGTGTCCAAAGTAAAAGCGAGAACGATAAAAAGATAGAGTCCGGAAGTGTCGAAGGAGTTTGGTTTGGCCGTTTATCCTTTGTTTCTTTCGCAACGTAAAGCGAAAAAAGAGGACAGAGAGAGAGAGAGAGAGAGAGAGAGAGAGAGAGAGAGAGCGTGAGAGAAGAATACTAAAAGCGTCCGTAGAAGGATAAAAAATTTCATCCAGCAACTTGTACCGGAAATCGGAGAAAGAAAGGGGCTGGCAGAGAGGCGGAAGATAAGAGAGAAGCGAAGATGAGGAGCGAGTTAGTGCTGCTACTCGCGCTAGCGGTTGTACTCGCTTGTGCCGGTAAGTAGGATATTTGCGAAAACCTCTTTTGTAATTATCTTATTTTGTTTATTTAAGCAATAGTGCAATTTTATATTTTATTATTACTAGGTAAGTAAAGGCGATTGAGTACAGCACTTATATATTCATCGATCAAATACAATAAACGGATATTCAAATATACAAGCATAGCTGCCTTAATACAAATTATTAATATTTCATGATCAAACTTACATGTAAAATTGACTTTTCAAATGCGAATGTAGCTTTTATTGCTAATTTTACAATTATACTATTATAAATAGGTACGCCTATGCGCAAAGTCATGGTACCTTTACATGATGAATAAATGTTCGAATAACATTGCAATAACAACACTATAATTATATATCTTTTATATTGCTTTATAAACTAAGAGTTACAACTTAAATTATGTGTGATTTTCTAATTAGACATTGTTTTGAAAGATATATTCAATATATAAGAACTTTCATTTTTAATTTGATACTATAAGAAAACATGTAGAAATACTTTTGTTTTTTACTTCCACTGTACTTTTTAGTGTTACGAAATGTAAATTGAAAACTTTTTCAAGTAGAACGTGTATGCTTGTACAATATCAATTTTAAATTTCCTATTGCTCAGCAGTTGTAATTACTTAAGTGAGATATCAGTACAATCTAATTTAATACATAAAACATATCGAGGGATGTCTTAGCACATAAGAAACAGAATCTAAAAATCTTGTAATTAACAAATATTTATAATTTATACTTTATTATTATATTAATTTTTTCATGGTTTTAAACGTTAAAATGGTAATCAAACTCAGCCTTATAACATATTTTGATGTAATATTAAAAAAATAAACATAAACTGTTCCTAACTAACCAATTAAATAGTATTATTTGGTAGTACTAGAAATTAGACTACAGCAAGCTAATTAATCAGCAATATTTTTATTTATAAATCACTTTTCTCATGTATAAATATGTTAAAATAAACTAAATTACTAAATTATTAATAAATGTAATTGAAAATAATCTTATTTAAATTAAATATATGTTTTTTTTTTTGTTTTTTTTTTAATTAATTTTGGATTTTTTAGATTTGGATTGAATTCCTAGCAAAATATTCGTACAATTAAAAAATGTCCTAATTCATTGATAAAAAAAAATAATACTTATTCTTCATTAAATTGTACGATCTAATATTCTAGATACTCATAATATTTGAATTTTTTTTAAATGTACAGATTCTAGGTAACTTAAGAACGTTTGTTAAGAATTCAAGAAACTTATTTCTCAATTTTAGAATTTGTTTTACTTAAAAAAAAAATTAAGTATATATTCAAATATATATTTACATATATTAATATTTACATCCTAAAAAAACACATATTCATATGTGGTTAATAAATTCATCCAGAAGATAACTTTCTCATTATTTATAATGCAACAATTTTAATTATTCATTTTACTCAAACCAAATGACACCGCAAATAATATTACAGCACCATTACACTAGTAATAGGTAAAGACTTTCATCAGAAGAATCATATGATATAAAAATAATAGTACTAGAAAATATTTCTGAAATAAATTAAAAGACATATGTAAATTATTACAAAAAATCTATTTTTCTTCATCTACATACATACATACATACATATATATCCAGGTATTATAATGATAATATTTTTAGTATAGAAATTATTTTTGTATATAATAATAATATAATCATCCTATTTACTAGTAAAAATTTCAATATTGTTGATTTCAATAAATATTGCATCTTAATGTGTAAGATTTCATAAATAAAGCTTCAAATAAATTCGGAACAAAATTTAGAAAACATTTTCTTGTTTGAATAACCAACTTCAATATATATATATATATATATATATATATATATAAATATAATTTCAGAAATACATTTAATAGCAATGAATTATATTGCATATTTCATGAAATATTAGCTATTTTATAATGATGATTTAATAATTATTTATCATACCTCCATCAATTCTTGAATATGCAGATCTACGTATGAAAATTTGTTTTAAAAATGATGTATCAAAAAACCTTCATAAATTTATTTAATTATTGGATTGTATCTACAATATTATAATACATGAATTCAAAAAAGGAAACTCCCCTAAATATTCAAAATATCTTAATGTAGAAAAATCTAAATTCATTCATCGAGTAATTCAAAATTTCATGGCTTAAAATATAACTATTATGTATTAGTTTTGAACAAAAATGAAGGAAATTCTAATTATTATTTAAATTATTTTTGGAATAAAACGAACTATAATTAAAAAACCAGTCTAATGCAATCTGACGAAAAATAAAATATTTTTGTACAGTACAAAAATTATAACTATATTTTAAATTGTATTTATTTTAATATGATGATAGTCTTTTTCAAATTTCTGATTTAATTAATAAATAATTTCTTTGTAAAATTTCGTTTATTAACACTATAAAAAAAAAATTTCGAAATAAAATTTTATACAAATATTATTTTACTATTTGCTGTAATATAAGAGTTTGACATATATAGTTGAGTTTGATACAACGTTACTATTACATTTTCTTATCATATCCAACTAAATTCTTGTCAATTCAAATTTGTTTATATATGAGTTTTTATTATTCTCTGCATAATTTAAATTTTATAAAAAAATTTTAAATAAAATAAAATTGAAAAAATGCAATGTTTTAAAAAATCTTAAAGTATATTATTTAATTATGATATTGAATATTCTTTTATAGAACTTGAAAGAATTTCTTATAGTAAAAAACATGTAAATCTGATATTATACGTGTAACAATTCAAAGAAAAAATGAAATGACAGTTACATGTATGTTTAATATATGAATTTGTGATGATTTTGAATTATAAATTAAATTGATAATGTATAATTTATTAAAAGAATTTTAATCATATATAACTAAAAAAGAAATATTGTAATATAGACAAAAAGAAATAATTTTCTGTTTCTAAGTATAAATTTTCTATAATTAAATATATTAATATTCAATCTAATTATTTTGTAAGTAACTTTTATATATTATGTTTTAAATCAAAATTAATGTTAATTGAATGAAAAAAAGAAGAACAATTCTATTTGAAAAATTTATTTTATAACTTATTTATTTTTATATATTTTTTATAACTATTTGAATAACTTTAATTTTAATGTTTATCTTTTCTTAGCCTATATATATATAATTCGTAAAATATAAAAAATAAATGAAAAAACTCAATAAATAATTTTCTGTCGGAAAAAAATTATTACTTTTAAGCAAGTGAAGCAAGAATAAAAATAAAAGATTTTCATATAACACTTGCTAATATATGAAACAATAAATTATAGAATACACGAGACTATATCTTGACAAAAACAGTATTAATAAACTTTTAATCCATATATACTTTCATTTATTGATAGTGAAATTATTTAGTATTTATAAATATGGGTTCAAAGGCTGAAAAGCAACTATGCATAAAGAAGCTCACGGCATTTTTATTTTCAGTAAATTGTTACGACAATCCAAGATAAATGGCATCCGAAAAAACATTGAATAAAATAGATTCGTAGAGTATTATATTTTTGCTTTAGCTATGCCCAAGCTCAGCTCGAGAGATAAATTGCATAACAGATTAGAGCGTGAAAGTCATGAGAATAGCAATAACAGTCTAGTCGCTTATAGTATCCCGGATAGAAGATGACGTCACATACTACTTCGCCACTGTTTCTCTTTCTCTCTCTCTCTCTCTCTCTCTCTCTCTCTCTCTCTCTCTCTCTCTCTCTCTCTCTTTATCACTCTTTTTCCTTCTCCATCCTTCCCTCTCTCCCGATCGCCCACTCTCTTACTCTTTCTCTTTCTACATAAGACAACTTTCCCTCCTGTTACTGTTGAGCGATGATCACGAATGGTTGTTCATAATTACAAGCCACTACTTCTATTGAAATGAAACAAAAGCTTGAAAGGAATGATAAAGAAGCGTTATAAATTATACATTGCAAAAACATTTGCTATTATTGAGAGGAATCGTCTAGTATTATTATTTTAATTTTTAAATATAAGTGAATCACTTTTTAAAATAATCTTATTTAAATTAGGAGAAGCATATTTTCAAATATAAATTAATATTGAAAAAACTACTATGATATAAGATTTTTCATTGGAATTTGGATCGTTCAATTATGAAAAGAAATCGAATTAAAATTTTTATTCAGTTTTGACTGACATTTTAGTTCAACTAACATCAATTTCATTACTTTAATTGTAAAAGTAATTAAATGCACAATAAATAAAATGTATCCAATGAAGAATAACTTAATGCTAATACTAAATTAATCAAGTGTTAATAAATTAATAACGATATTTTTTTTTTTTAATAAATATCAGCATTAAAAAAATACAGTTTAAATATAATAAATCGTGTTGCATAATATCACAGGCTTGTGAAGCTCACATCATATGATTTTAACTTGATACTCAAATTCACACATAATGAAATTAAAATAATAATATATCAAAACGCATATATTGAATATAAAAAAAAAATCATTATAAATATATATATATATATATATAATTTAAACAAATAAGAATGTTGGAAATAAATAATATAATCCAATTTTTTCCTATATAATTTTACAGATTTGATTCATTATTTAGAATTGATCATGAAAACGGTAAATTAACTTCTAAATGAATTTTTAATAAATTTTTCTTACACCCAAACAAAAAAATTCTTTGTACTTATGAAAAGTAAATTAAAAAAACTTTATAATTAACACAACTTCAATCTAAAAAACTATCTATAATTATTATGTAGATTCTATTATGTAATTGAAGTAAATCCGGAAAGAAATTTAATAATAAAAATTTTTTTTTTAATTTTCCAATTAAATTCTATATAATTTAAAAGTTTATCTTGCAATATCTCATTATAATGACAGAATATTGATTTCACAATTAACAATGTATTATCAGCATTTTTTGATTATCAACATTATTATTGTAATAATCGGCCTACACGTTCGTTTATATAATATCTTTCAGAGGTCAGGTCAAATCGAGTGAAGCGCCAGGAAGATAAAAAGGAAGACAGTTTCGAAAACGAGATCTGCAAAGACAAGGATGCAGGCGAATGGTTCAGGTTGGTAGCGGGTGAAGGAGATAATTGTCGCGATGTTATCCAGTGCACCAGCTCGGGTCTTCAGGCTATTCGTTGTCCAGCTGGTTTATACTTTGACATTGATAAGCAGACATGCGATTGGAAAGATTCTGTTAATAACTGCAAACTGAAGAATAAAGAGCGTAAGGTTAAGCCCCAACTATTTACCGAGGAGCCTCTATGCCCAGATGGTTCCCTGGCTTGCGGCGATGGTATTTGTATCGAAAGGGGACTTTTCTGTAACGGAGAAAAGGATTGTGCTGATGGTTCCGACGAGAACGTTTGTGGTGAGTGATTAACTTCATTCATTCGGCTGTTAATTATTTCGAAACATAAGATATTATAAGAATTAGAAGATCCATTTATAGAATTAATATTTGATTTATACTTTCAAGCATTACCGATAATTAAAAAACTTATATATCTATAATAATCAAGCTTTGATTATGTAAATTCAATTAATTATTGAAATACTTTTATCTCTAGTCTCCAGTCGCATTGTACAATCTAAGATTTCGAAAATAAATTATACTTTATTAAATGGAAAGTATAATATTGTTATTATTAACTTTACACGGGCTCTCATATTTCAGGTACTAAGCTTTTAGAGAATAAAAATGCACACCTACGTATATGAAAGTCCAAACAAAATTCATTTATATGTGTAGATATGGACAATGACCCCAATCGTGCTCCTAGTTGTGACCCGGCCGTCTGTGTCCTGCCCGATTGCTTTTGCTCGGAAGATGGCACGATGATACCTAGTGATTTGCCTCCCAAAGATGTACCTCAAATGATCACCATCACCTTCGATGATGCCATTAACAATAATAACATAGGACTGTACAAGGAGATCTTTAATGGCAAGAGGAAGAATCCCAATGGCTGTGATATGAAAGCAACATTTTTCGTTTCACACAAATACACAAATTACTCAGCAGTGCAAGAGATGCATCGGAAGGGTCATGAAATTGCTGTTCACTCTATTTCGTAAGCTCATCTCTACTTTTTATGTGTTTCCTTGAACTTTAATGCATATCTATTGCTTGCACTCTTATGTACATTGCTTATTATACATCATTGAATGCTTTCTATAGAGACATTCGGTTGTTTTTATAAAATTACCAACTGATGATATGAAATGAAATTAAATAATTTCATTTCTTCTAAGCGATAGACGATTAGTGACTTTAATAATATTCATACACTATAACTTCTTATTAATAGAAACATATATTGAAACATTTATATTATAATTAAAAAATCGATATTCCTAAATTTAATTCAATAACAAAATTATTTTAAAGAATTCAATCACTTTTTTATTTGAATTAATTTAGAAGAAAAACAAATTTGTAAATACAATTTTTATTAATTTCGACATATTATTTATTAGCCATCATAAATATAATGAAATACTTATTTGTTATACTGTTTTAAATAATAAAAAAATCCATCAGTCGATTGTATTATTTGTAAATTCTGTATATAATTCGATATGACCTTATAAGAATAGCATAACAACAATTAATAGATGCATATACATATACATATACATATATATATATATATATATATATATATATATTTGATTATTTAAATTTAAAAACAAAAAAAAAATTGAAAAAAACAAAAATTAAACTTAAAAGTACTAATTAACGATTTTCATTTTATAGAATTATAAATAATTTATGGATAAATCATCCTCGTGCCTGTTTCATACTCATCATAATTAAAATATAAGGGTATACATAATTTATTGAATTATATCAATTTTGACTTACATAATTTATTCGTCTCATCATGTTTTCTATATACATCATCTTTTTTCTGGAATTTACGTTAATTGGTACTTAATTTGTATGCATACAATCATTATTTACTTGATAAGGAAGAAAGACACATACTAACTCCATCAGGCACAACGACGACGAAAGATTCTGGTCTGAGGCAACGGTTGATGATTGGGCCAAAGAAATGGCCGGCATGAGGATCATTGCTGAAAAGTACGCTAACCTAACTGATAACAGTGTCGTGGGTGTCCGTGCTCCATATTTACGCGTGGGTGGAAACAACCAATTCACTATGATGGAAGAACAGGCTTTCCTTTATGATTCTACCATAACAGCTGCCCTTAATAACCCACCCCTATGGCCGTATACAATGTACTTCAGAATGCCGCATCGTTGTCATGGGAATCTACAAAAATGTCCTACTAGGTGAGTTGGATAATTTTTTTCTTCGTAAATTCACTATTTAATTAAGATTTTATTCTCGAAGATAGCTAATATTAAAGTTTGTTTTCAAATTATTGATTATCTTCATGTTATTATTTGTTTTCAAATTTGTATAAAATAAGAATAATCTTATTGTACGAGTACTTAGAATTTCAATAAATATTATTAAATTTGGATGTTTAATTTTAATCTAACTATATATATGCATACATACATACATACATTTTACATATATTACATTTAAAAAAAAGTGCAAATCACTTAAGATTCATAATAGCTCAGCATATCAGTATCTATCATTATTATCATGTATATTCTAGTAGTATTTTTATCTATTAATGATTTTCTGATGAAATGACATTAAAAACATTGAAATATTATGTAAACCAAGATAAGAAAATAAAAATGAATCGGTTTAATAATATAATCGAATTATTATCTTGAAAATGTTTATAGTTTTATAATGTTTTCTAAAAATTCTAATAGAGCAAATATATTATCAATTTTATGTAATGTATAAATATTAATTGATATATAGCAAATACCTTTTTCCGTTCCTTTCAACATCAAAATTATTATTAAAATTAAGACTTTTTCGAACTTCTTAGTCTATTCTTATATTTATAAATAGTATTGAAGGACTTTAAGATAAAGAAAACAAATTCACATCTTAGATCTCACGCTGTTTGGGAAATGGTAATGAATGAACTGGATCGTCGGGAAGATCCTGAAAATGACGAATATCTACCAGGTTGCGCTATGGTGGATTCGTGCTCAAACATTCTTACTGGTGACCAGTTCTACAACTTCCTTACACACAATTTCAATCGACACTATGAGCAAAATCGTGCTCCTTTGGGCTTGTACTTCCACGCTGCCTGGCTGAAGAATAATCCTGAATTCCTAGATGCGTTCCTTTATTGGATCGATGAGATTCAAAAAGATCATAATGATGTATACTTCGTAACAATGACTCAGGTGATTCAGTGGATCCAAAATCCCCGTACCATCAGCGAAGCCAAAACATTTGAGCCTTGGAGGGAAAAGTGCGTTGTTGAAGGACCACCAGCATGCTGGGTTCCACATTCCTGCAAATTAACTTCGAAAGAGGTTCCTGGGGAAACAATTAATCTCCAAACTTGTGTTCGTTGTCCAAATAATTATCCATGGTTAAATGATCCCACTGGCGATGGATTCTACTAAGAATTGTGAAAATCTACAATTGTCACAAAAAAGGCAAAAAATATATATCTCCTTTTCGTTCCTTGTCTAAGTCAAGACTATATTGATTATGCTGAGAGATATGCCAAATCTCACACACCAGCACAATAAAGGCAGAGAAAGAAAGCAAGAAACGTTTTCGCATATTTAATTTGATTTTCTTTTAAATAAAATTCATATGAGACGATAGACGTTACAAAAATATATTCGAAAATGATTTTTCTTAAAATCTTTGTTACCTGTTTTTTTTTCTATTTTTTCTACTTATTTTACAAATAAAATTATTTAAATGAGATTTGAATGGAGGAAAAATGCTAAAGAAGCTAATGATGAAGGAAATAGCGGACTATTGTGAGAAAAAAATGTCCGCAAGTGAGACTTTGTTAATGTATTATATACATCCGTATTTACTTTTTTCTTTACAATTTTGTATTTTTGTTTTATAAACAACTTGAAACTTTCAATTTTTAAATCTATAATTTACTATTTAACTCTCTCAAACTGTACCTATTATTTCCGAAATTTTTTTTATCTCTATTCCATTATTTGTATGTTTATAATTTTAATATAATTTTTACATTTTGCACGTAAAAAAATCCCTCAACATTGATCGAACAATAAATAAATATCCAAATACTATGTGCGCATTACTATGTGAGCAGTACACATTACTTCAAATAAAAAAACTTCAGTAAAAACTTATATAATTTTTAATATTTTAATTACATTTTTTATCAACCCTTTATCCCTCATTAACATTAACATATTATTATCATATATAATTATTATAAAGTTCGTTATATTTGAGAATTCGTAATTTTTAATATATAATAAAATTAAAAAGTACTTTAAATTATTAAATTATTACATGTATATATTAAATGGATAAATTACTTTCATGAGTTTAAGATTATATTTTACATCTTTGTATTTTACAACTATTTATTCATAATTTTGCACTTTTATCGTTATGTAGGTGATTTAAAAAAAAAAAAAAAAAACCAACTTATTATTAAAGAATATTTATATAAAATATTTTTTCTATAAAACCTTTATATTAATTCCTGTATATAATCCCGGCAGTGTTTAATATTCAAATATATTCTTTTAAAATAAACAGAAATAATTATTTCTTAGATTTTAAAAAAAAAACGTAAAAAATCATTTCAATTAAAAGTCGTATTGTTAACTTATGTTATAAGCCGTGAAATAATGAGCGAAAAAAAATTTTAGTATGATACGAATAAAAAACAATCTTTTACAATTTAAAATTCAAAACTTAAATAAAATCATTTTATACTCATATAGAAAATTGTTTGAATTCTACATAAATCTATAAAAGAATTCGATATCTTAGAGAACCAGTATTACTACAAATATATATAATTTTCTAACTTTTCTAATTAGTATATATTAAAACAACAAAATTAATACTAATATTATATTGTGTATATATATATATATATATTTAAGGCGACAAAAAAAATCAAGAATTTGTATTTATGCTATTGAAAAGATAAAAATATCTTACTAATAAAGCTTATATACAGTACAATAAAAATATAAATTGTTTGCTAAAAATGCATGTTGACTCATTGAGCTATTAATATAAAAGTTAAAAATAACTAAAGTGATATTTTAATATATATATATATATATATATATATATATATATGCATATAATATATATACGTAAAAAAAACGACTTAATAATTTAATTTTCTGATAAGTGTCTAAAATTCATTTTTTAACACTGATAAGTTAATTTTAAGCTTCTGTACAATCTTATAAATTATACTGTTTACACTCTTTATGTTTATCTATTAGTTTTTTCATGCCATAATTATAAAGCAATAATGCTTATTTATTATCAAATCTAAATTTACTAAAAAAATTTCGTATTCATTATTATTGGTCCTCAAGCAATTTGAAGTTTATAAATTCAACTTTGTTTTGTTTCCTTTCATTTATTCGTAAATAAACATCTAAATCACATTAGCTATAAATATTAATATAGCATATATGTACAATAATAAGTTGAAATTTCTAAATAAAAGCTATAAATTATTACTTATCCACACTATATATAAAGTTATTTTCTTACTATCATAAATATATTCAATTTTTCTCAATATTAAATGCAACTAATTATAACTAATACATTTCAAGTTACTTGTATTAATAATCATAATAAGTAAATTACTTGCTGTAATTGTTATCAATGAAAGTATTTTTACGCAATACTGTAAATTAGCGTAAATATGAAATTATTTTAATATATTAGAATATGAAACTTTACTCTTACATTAGTTATTATATTGATAAAATATTTGATAAATTGATAAAATAAATTTAATTCTAAAATTGTATTAAATAAGCGTTAAATTCATAACGTAAAGTAATTATTTTTTAAGCATAAATTAAAAGTTTATTCAATTCATCCGAACATTTAATAATACATATTATTATTGTTTTCAATTATTCTAATACTGTAAAATAATTAATAATTTACTATAATATACATATATTTTCTATGTAAAAAATTATTGCTTACTACTTTTTATAAATACATTACATTTTATAAATTTTATAATTTCAATATTGTATAATATTGAATGAAATACAATAATGTAGTATAATTACTACCTTTACATAGATCTCATAGATTCAATCGTTAAAATTGTATATAATTTTCTGAATTATACTACATTTATATACAACATTATAGAATTAATTAATCACATAATTGTAATATTGTGATACATACACTTTGAATAAGTTACATTTCATGAAAAATATTCGTATATACATTTTTTATTAAAATATAAATATTTGTATATATTGTCTTATAAATTATTAAAAGCAAACAAATTATCAACGCCCACCATATCTATATTTACAAACTCTTTGTTTTTGTGGAAACAATGAAATATAAACAACGAGATCATAAGATTTTTAGTTGTTATGTTAATTATTAATATATGCTTTTGTTTGGCAAATAACACTAACTTATATTAACATAATTTTGATTATTCGTGCAAATATTCTAATGGAATGAAAATAATATACTCCATATGATTATAGAAGCATGTTATTCCATAGTAGAATTATTTCAAAATATTTTGTTGTATTAAATGGCAAACTTTTCGTAAGAATTTGTCGAACGTGGTGGAATGGAATGGCATGTTCGTAGTAAAAGTAAAGAACGTCAAGGATGATTTACTTCCTAGTTTGAGATTAAAATATACTGAAATTTAAAAAATCACACAGGATTATATACTGATTATACTCTGTTAAATTCAGTGGAATGAAGGACAGAAATAAGAAAATCCAATCGCTCCAGATGCAACAGAAACATTATTGCGATCGCATAACGCAATTGCATATCATGAATTTTACTTCTTTCATTATCGTACTCTTCTTAAAGATTTTTTTTTCTATTCTTATTATTTATGAATGTTTATAGAATTATTTTACATTACAATTTATTAACATTTTTTATCAAAATTTTTATAATTATAATTTATTAATTATTATAATATTATTAATGATATAATTTTATTTTTCATTACTTAGTCTTCAGTTGTAGCTTCTTACTTTATTCTTTAATAGTATAATGTAACTATTTCGTGTTTTTTAATATACCACTGCTTTAAAATATATATATATATATATATATATATATATATATATATATATATATATTAAAAAAAATAATAAAATCGATTTAAAAAAAAGAAAAACACTCATTAAAATATTCAATAAATATAATAATTAAAATGAATTACTCGTCTATATATAAATACAAAAAATGTCCATGCAACGTCAGTCTTTAGTAAAAAATTATTCATGAGATAATACAGGCTCTTCATATAATTTTTACCAATCCTGGAGTCATCACTTATTTTCGGCGAAGCAGGCGCCACACCATTCTCAACGACCTGTTTTTTTATCTCATCTCCAAAAAGCGAACAAACTTACAAGTCACATTGGAATTTTCGCTTTTCATAAACACGCGCGTATGAGCTGAACGACCTTGCTCATCGAGATACGAGAGGAGCATCGGCATGCCTCACTTTCTCTACTTTCGCTTGTCCACAGGATTTTGAGAGTTGCTGCTGATGTCATTACCTATACTAATACTGCGGATGGTGGTTGGAGCAAAAAAATTCAACGAAAAATAAAAATAAATGCTATTTATTATGAACTTCATTGTGTTTAAAATTTTTACGATCCTGCTTGAGTTAGAAAATATTTTAAATAAACTCGAGCTTTCTTCTTCTATCATTACAGTATTCTATTTAATCATCGAAGAATAAAATTTTTTTGGATTTATACAATAATAATTTCTTAATTTGAAATTTCTTCATCAAAACCCATCAAATATATCATATAATATCGATGTATGGAGGCAAAATGTCGTGTTCACCTCATATTTCCAATTGCACTCAGATAATCTGCTATATAATCACATCTATATTCATACTATATTATCGCAATCAAATATAGTTGTTTAGATTGATTTTTTTTTTGCTCTTATAAAATTATTATATTGGTATTGAAAATTATTTACATATATTTTCAACTTTCCTTATTTATTAAAGATACAAACTTACTCCTACGTAAATCGTTTTTTCAAACCAACATTATGAATAATATGTAAATAACTCAATATAATACTAACACAAATAAATCAATAAGATAATATATAATTAATATATTATTAATTTGTTTATAGAATATAATATAATTATGGCATTAAATGAGATTATAATATACCAGAACGAACTTATTCACTAAACTATGAAACAAATCAGATTTTTTGTTTCTAGCACATCATTTATATACATTTTCTGTTAGATACTTATGAACTTAAAAAATTTTAATGATAAATTGAAAAAATAAATAATGATTGGAAAATTTTTATTTTGTATATTAAAATTTTATTTTAAATGATATATATATAAATAAAAGCGAAGTCATTGGAGTTTCTCCAAACATAACTACATACAAATACGTAATTTATAATAGATAAAGGCAAAATACAGGTATTTAGACAATTTACTAATAAAACTTATGAATTACATTCTTTTGTAGAAATAAATAGTATCTCTAATTTATACAATTGCAAATAAAAAATTAATATATAAGACAATTAGAAAGGTTTCTTTATTTTTTTTCTTTTTTTTTTTTTTTTTTTGACCTCAA